GGTATTTTTCTGCTCTTACAAATTAAACTGTTTACATAATACTATTTATTTTGTAGCGTTTATTAATAACATTTATATATTTCTAAGCTATAATAAATACCACACTATATAATACAAGATGACATGGTGCATATTAATGTTACAGATAATTTTTAAAGTTTTACTTACATTACCCAACCACCTAATTCACAAATGCCATATTAAACATAGTCGTCGAATTAGTGGGGTCTTTAATCTCATTAAAATATGTAAACAAACAAAAACTAAGCTATAAGAAATACTTCACTTCACTTTCTTTTGAACAAAACCCTAATTTCACATGCGCACCCGAGAAGTGTCCCACAGTGGACTGATAAGACACTTCCTACTTTTCAAGCATCACTGGCAGAAACCAGTGAGCGGATTTGAGACCACTTCGATCAGCTTGCGAAAGGAACGAGGGTGTGCGGTGTCGGCCCTCGTTAAACTGTTCTACAGTAAAGCGCTCGACTCCGCTCGCAGGTCGTCATGCTATCGAAGCAGGGGAAGCAAGCTATTCTCTCTGCAGAGATCAAAATTGTCTTCGGATCATCCTCAGGGATGTTTCCCAGACAATGTCGTGAGACTGGCAACGGTCTGGGAAACACCCTTGAAGATGATCCGAAGACATGCTATTACAATTTTGATCTCTGCAGAGAGGATAGCTTCCCCGCTTTGATAGCATGACGACTTCCAATTAACGGTAGAACAGCTTAACGAAGACCGATACCGCGCAACTTCGGTCCCTACGCAAGATGATCAAAGTGCAGACAGTGATGTTTGGCATTGCTGAACCGTGTCTTTACGATCAGTTCACAGCAGGATTACGTAAATAAAGTACTACTGCTGCTAACAAGAACAGATAAGTAGGCTTATTTTTGTGCCCTTATATCAAAAACGAAATATTTATCGAAAAATTTCAATTGATTTAATAAAAATAGCAATTTATAGTGATTAAATTAATTAGATTTATAAAAAAAATAATACTGTTTTAAAATAATGGAAATAATACAATATTTTCAGCGAATAAATATTAAAGATTGTTCATTTTTTTCAAAATAATTTCTTTAATAGTAGTGACGAAATAGAAAAGTACGAATAGTAGAATGAAATAGTTTAATAATGACAGTTATGTTTTCGATTTAAAAAAAATATAGTGCCCACAAAAGAGAAAAGAACTACATTAAAACTTCTAGCAATTTTTAGGGTGGCTTAACCTTTAAGACGATAATTATATAACGCCTTTAGCGCTAAAAACAAAACTCGAAATTCCAAAAGACTTAATGTTATAGCAATAAATTTTCCTTTCACTCTGCGACACAATGATAAAAATACAACACTGTTACTTTAAAAATAAATTACCACTACGAAAAGAAAAGCCCATCAATGTTCAGGCTTATGGTTTGTACTCCTTTTTTACAGCTATTTGAAGAGCACTTTCGCTAAATTAAAAGCTGTCTTTAGTGAACCATCAGTATAATATCATTAAACCTCATAATATCCTTCGACATTTTTAGTTTGATAGGGAAAAAAATATATCTTTGAGTAATGTGAAATGAAAAATGAAAGTATATCAGCGAACAGGAGCGTAACCGTGAAAAAGGATTTTATGCCATGAGTACGCGACGAAAGACATTTAAAAAAAAATATAGAGACATAAAAAAAGATGCACCTAGCAAATAGAATTTCAAAAGAAGCACTAAAGTGAGGCATCTACCAAACGGAATATTAAGAAGACACATAAAAGTAAGTCACCTAGCGAATAGAATTTCAAAAGTAGCATTAAAGTGAGGCACCTACCAAATGGAATATTAAGAAGGCACATAAAAGTAAGTCATCTAGCGAATAGAATTTCAAAAGAAGCATTAAAATGAGGCATCTACCAAACGGAATATTAAGAAGACACATAAAAGTAAGTCACCTAGCGAATAGAATATTTAAGAGACGTACAAAAGTGAGGCACATAGCGAACGGAATATTAAAAAGATGCACAAAAGTAAGGCACCAAGTGAACGAACTATTAAAATGACGCAAAGTGAGGCATCTAGCAAACGGAATTTGAAAAAGGCGCACAAAAGTGAGGCACCTAACAAGCATAATCTTATTAAGACACACTAAAGAAAGGAACCTGGAATATTAAAAGGCGCACAATTATAAAAAGCATCTATCACGATTTCGCTCTGTGGTGCAGTACACGTCCCCATTTACAATATTTTTGCATTCTTCTCTTAATTTGCATCTGGAACTCTTTTTTATCCTTTTATATTTATTTGCTTATCTTTGTTTTTCCCAAAGATATACACTATATCACGCAACGTTTTATTATTAACAACTCACTAAGTATTTTTGTATCTATTGCAAGTAAACTAGACGATATTTCAATTAACTTTAAATCACATTTGAGTCGAATATCAAAAGAGGCACTCTGATCTGCAAATGTCCCTTTTTACAATTTTTTTTACGTTCTTTTTATTTGGAACTCTTTTTGTTCATTTATATATATTTATTTAGGTCTCTTTATTTTGCAACGAGACAGATGTTTTTGTACATGTTCTTTTATCATTTCAAAAATAAATTTGGCACCTGTAATTGATTTTTAAAATGATTTTTTACTAATTGAATAATACAAATTGAATGAATTAACTTAAAATCTTTGAGCTAAAACTTACTCTATTATAAATACGCTTATGATAAATATTTAACGTTATTTTAGTCTTACTTCGAAACGTTCTCTACAAATTACGTTAAGATTTGCTTTCGCAATTAAGCCTCTTTTTATCAGCAATTTGGTCAGAAAATACGTGCAATTAAAGCAAAATATTAAACCCTGTTTTCTATTTTTATTATTTTTAAATATTCGGCCAAATCTGAAGCTTCGGGTATCATAAAATAATGCTTAAGCAAACGACTTAGGAGAAAGAAGAAAAAAAATATTGCAAAATCATTTGGTAACGACATGCTTGGCCTCATAATTAAGAGACTGAAACAGGTTGTTACAACAAAAACATCTTAGCCGTAAAAACAGTAGAAAAGATATTAGTAGCTACCATTTTGAAAGATGAAGAAAAAAAAAATTTTAGGAACATCCAGTAGTTCTAATGATTATATTTTTTGTAGACCAACCGTGTTTAAACATTGGGAAGGTAGAAAACAATAGGTAAGAGGACAATAAACCCTCTTTGTAGTTAATTCCGTGCAAACAAGACAAAATTTGCATTTAACGATGCAAGAGTAAAAAAAATACGACGCAATTTTGAAAATGCATAAGGCTTATAATCGTCGAGGAAAAGAAAAATAAATCATAGCTTTTCGGCCATACGCCGAATCGACCTTTTGAACTGGAATCTGTGCAAATGGCGGTATTTTTCTGCTCCCCCCTGAATCATGGGTCAAAGTGCGCCATAAAAAGGAATCAAAATTCTTCTGGAATTTTTTCTGGCTTG